TGGCCAATAGTTGATTACGCGTGCTCAGGTGTAGGTGTGCTTGATGGCTATTTATAGAGTCCATCAAGTGAAATGTGCCTGGCTAATCGTTGTAATATGAAGTTTTTCCTGGCCACACTTCATCATAGGCCAGCAGAGTGAGGCTTTGGCCAGCCCCGAAGTTTGTTGCTGGTTTCGTGGGGCTTCAAGGGAAACTGTTAACCTTCAGGCTGGGCAATTAGTCGACGCAATTAAAAAACTCGAGACGTTAACGCCAAAACGCCTTTGTAAAGCAGGCGTGCGTGCCGCAATCTCGAGTGCTTGTCCTGGCTTAGAATGGAGGGCAACTGCTTCGCATTGTTTACAGTGCCGACGAAAGTTTTCGCACATTTCAAAACAAAATGACGCCCGGTGGCCCCAATCTGAGCATGAAATAATGTAATATTTTACAATTCAGCTAAAAGTAAATGCAATGCGAGCAGAGATGGCCGCGATAAGCGGCTCAGGCAAGCGCCTCCAACTAGGTCAATTATATGCGCAAACAGCTGAAGGACCCGCCAGGACCACCAACAGTCGCTCATAACTGTATGCCCAAACTTAGCATCGATTAACTTCACTAAGAGCACAACAAAACCTTTGCGCCACTCGATGGCAAAGTTTTTCAGCACCTCTGCAGAATGCCGCACTTACGAAATGTTGTTTGTTCTCCAACTATTTGAATATTACGGCAGGGCCTAGATAAATAAATGTTGATATATGTATGTGTGTGTATATTTATTTATATACATACATATATATGTGAGTAGGTTTATTTATTTAGACACTTTCGAGCAAAGTTGACTCGCGCCAACAGCGAACCGTTCGCGTGAACTGACAAAACTGAACTGAAAGTCCACCGGCTCTATCGGACTCTCTGGCCTGGTCGACTCTGGTCAAATTATAGGCATAGAGTACGGCATAGTGCCTGGCCGGGGTTATTGGATACACCCCCAACTGCCGGCTGGCCCTGTGCTGGGCTGGGCTGCGCTGTGTTTTGTTTTGTTATGTCCTGGCCGCATAGCTCAATCAATTTCTCAGTTGTTGTTTCTTGGCTCTATGTATTTCTTTTTTTTTTTCTTTTCTGTAACTCCACTCGTTTTTCGAATTGTTGAAATGCTAATGCGCCATTTTGCATACATTTCTTTGACGTTGGCCAGTTGAGCGTTCGCCCAGGGATTCTTGAATGTGAGCGGATTTGTAATTGTTGGTCTGCATGGATATGACGATGGCCGATGGCAGCCAAACAATCCCAAGTTGCTTGAATATCAATAAGCTGTAAATAGCAATTTAAGCTCTTGTTTGCACTTCATAATGATAATTGCCTGGGCATATATAAGTAGGTAAATACATTTAATTCATAGGCAATATGATTTTCCAGAAAACTCCCAAGTTTTGGTAGCTACAACTAACTAACCAAAAGTGCCTAAATACCTCTTAGATTTTTTGTTAATTTAAGACACATTTTATGTATAAAAGGAAAATTGCAAAAGAATATATATATTTATATACATATTAT